TGTGTGAGCGTGTGTGACCGTGCCAGCGTGTGTGAGCGTGTGTGACCGGTGTGACCATGCCAGTGTGTGTGAGCGTGTGTGACCGCACCAGCGTGTGTGAGGGTGTGTGACCGGTGTGAGCATGCCAGCGTGTGTGACCGGTGTGACCATGCCAGCGTGTGTGAGCGTGTGTGACCGGTGTGACCATGCCAGCGTGTGTGAGCGTGTGTGACCGCGCCAGTGTGTGTGAGCGTGTGTGACCGGTGTGACCATGCCAGCGTGTGTGAGCCTGTGTGACCACGCCAGTGTGTGTGAGCGTGTGTGACCGTGCCAGTGTGTGTGAGCGTGTGTGACCGGTGTGAACATTCCAGCGTGTGTGAGCGTGTGTGAACGCGCCAGCGTGTGTGAGCCTGTGTGACTGTGCCAGCGTGTGTGAGCGTGTGTGACCAGTGTGACCATGCCGGTGTGTGTGAGCATGTGTGGGAGTCTGTGGGAACGTGACGAAGAGCATGCGAATATGTGCGGATCTGTGGCTGCGTGTGAGGCCACGTGTGACTGAAGGGGTGATGCTGAGGCCACATGTGGCTGAATGTGTGAATCTGAGTGTCTATGGGAGCATGGCAGTGTGGGAGTGTGTGACTGCATGTGACAGCGTTTCCTGCACCTGTCCCTCCCACGCCTACCTTGCCTGGCCCACCCTGCCCTCAGCTGCCTCTGTCCCCACCCTTCCTGGCAGGTGGAGCTGGAGGAGAGCCGTCACTTCCAGCTGATGCAGCAACAGACCCGAGCCCAGAGGGTCTGCCACCTGCTCTCCTACCTTCGGGTCAACGTACTCATCGGGCTCCTTGTGGTTGGGGCCATCAGCGCCATCTTCTGGGCTACCAAGTACTCACAGGACAACAAGGAGGTGCCAGGCAATTACATTCATTTAATCCTGACCAGAACTGCGTGGTGGGGGGAGATGGGATGATCCCATTTTACAGATGAGGAAACTGAGGCTCAGAGAAGTTAAATTGGTCGTAACCACCACAGGTCACGGCCAGGGCAGGCGGGTTCCCACCGGATATCCCCACAGACTGCCAGGCTGCTGAAGGGAATGGCCTGTGGGCTTCCTTATTCCCAGCCTGCCCCAGAGGTACACTTTAGGGCAGGGAGCTGACAGGGCCCCCCCAACATGCAGCTCCTCTGACCTGCCTTTTCCCGCAGGAGTCCCTGTTTCTGCTGCTCCAGTACCTGCCCCCTGGGGTCATCGCCCTGGTCAACTTCCTGGGTCCCCTGCTGTTCACATTCCTGGTCCAGCTGGAGAACTACCCTCCCAACACCGAGGTCAACCTCACCCTGATCTGGTGAGTGCCACCTTTGGTGGGGACAAGTGGGCACGTGGCGAGTCTGCCCCCTGCTGCTCTGTTTTCCTTTTTGTTTTTTGGAGTGCAGGGGCGCTATCTTGGCTCACTGCAACCTCTGCCTCTCTGCCTCTCGGGTTCAAGCAATTCTCCTGCCTCAGCCCCCCGAGTAGCTGGGACTACAGTCTCCCGCCACCATGACTGGCTAATTTTTGCATTTTTAATAGAGACAGGGTTTCACCATGTTGGCCAGGCTGGTCTCGAACTCCTGACCTCAGGTGATCCACCGCCTAGGCATCCAAAAGTGCTGAGATCACAGGCATGAGCCACTGCACCTGGCCAACGTTCTCTTTCGGTTGTCACCTGGCACCTGGGGTCCCCAGCTGAGAGGCTTCCCCGTTCACTAGTGGCCCAAGGGAAGGCAGGTGGACACCTCACAGCACACAACCTCAGGGCCCCATGTCTAAGGCTTTCCAATCCCCCACCTCCGAAGGAAGCCTCCAGTCTGGACCAAGCTCCGGCCATTCAGTAGGGCAAGGGACTGCAGCCAGGGGTGCTGGGAATGGGCTTCTCACACAGAAAAACTGGCAACACGGGACATGCAGAGCTTCTACACCCTGAGGGCTTACATGCTTACCTGGACAGCCCTCACGTGACCTGTTCCTACTAAAATAGTGAAACCCCATCTCTACTCAAAATACAAAATCCCAGGCTGGGATGGTGGCTCATGCCTGTAATCCCAGCACTTTGAGAGGCCGAGGTGGGCAGATCACCTGAGGTCAGGAGTTTGAGACCAGCCTGGCCAACCTGGTAAAACCCCATCTCTCAAAAAAAAAAAAAAATATATATATATATATATATCTCCCCTTTGAAGGATGAGGAAACTGAGGTTCACATGGGTGAAGTGCCCAGCCAAAGCCAAGCTCATCGTGCCTGCCAGGGGCAAGTTAAAAGTAAGCCCTTGACCTCCTGGGCTGCAGCTATCCTCCCGCTGGAGCTGCCAGGACTACCACCCCAAGGCTCTGCCACCCTCTGTCTCAGCACTTAGATCCTGTCTAGATCCTCTACTTCTCCACCCCTCACCCCGCCACAGAAATTCTGTGTGAAGCCCACCTGAGCTCCCACTGGCTCCTCTCCCGCCCCCCACCCTCACCTGCCACCTGCCCTAACTGCTTTTCCCTCTGCTTCCTCAAAGTCAGCTGTGTTTGGTTTGCTTTGAAACTTTAGTTTTTGAGGGCAGGCGCGGTGGCTCACACCTGTAATCCCAGCACTTTGGGAGGCCAAGGTGAGCGGATCACCTGAGGTCAGGAGTTTGAGACCAGCCTGGCCAACATGGTGAAATCCCGCCTCTACTAAAAATACAAAAAATTAGTCAGACATGATGGGGGAGCCTGTAATCCCAGCTACTCGGGAGGCTGAAGCAGGAGAACCACTTGAACCTGGGGGCAGACATTGCAGTGAGTGGCCATTGTGCCACTGCACTCCTGGATGAGAGAGTGAGACCGTCTCAAAAGAAAAAACAAAACAAAACAAGAAACACCTTTATTTTTTGAAGAGTTTACAACACATGCATGTACTAAAAAATTCAAAATGCTCGGCCGGGTACGGTGGCTCACGCCTGTAATTCCAACACTTTGGGAGGCTGAGGTGGGCGGATCATGAGGTCAGGAGTTCGAGATCAATCTGGCCAACCTAGTGAAACCCCGTCTCTACTAAAAATGCAAAAAATTAGCCAGGTGTGGTGGTGGGCACCTGCAATCCCAGCTACTCGGGAGGCTGAGGCAGGAGAATCGTGTGAACCTGGGAGGCGGAGGTTGCAGTGAGCTGAGATTGTGCCATCACACTCCATCCTGGGTGACGGTACAAGACTTCTTCTCAAAAATAAGTAAATAAATAAAAATGCTTAACAGGATGAAGATTTAAAATATAAACCCTTGGACTGAGCTGAGTGGCTCATGCCTGTAATCCCAACACTTTGGGAGGCCAATGTGGGAGGATTGCTTGAGCCCAGGAGTTCAAGACCAGCCTGGCCAACACAGCAAGACCCCCATCTCTACAAAAAATTAAAAACTTAGCTGACCTTGGTGGTGCACACCTGTAGTCCCAGCTGCTTGGGGGGCTGAGGGAGTAGGATGGCTTGAGCCCAGGAGTTTGAAGACACAGAGCTGTGATCGCACTAGGGCCCTCCAGCCGTGGTGACAGAGCAATACCTTGTCTCTAAGTAAAAAAGCTCTCACCTACCCCTGCCTCCCTCAACAGGAGAAGCACCGTTCCTAGCCGCTCTCTAGCCCTGTATCAGCAGTGGGAATGTCCATCCTTAGAGATCACACGTGGCCGGGCACAGTGGCTCACGCCTGTAACCCCAACACTTTGGAAGGCCAAGACGGGAGAATCACTCGAGCCCAGGCATCTGAGACCAGTCCAGGCAACATGACAAGACCCCATCTCTACAAAAAATACAAAAAAATTAGCTGGGCGTGGTGGCACACAGTCCTAGCTACTAGAGGAGTGAGGTGTGAGGATCACTGAAGCCCAGGAGGTCAAGGCTGCAGGGAGCTGTGATTGCATCACTGCACTCCAGCTGAGCAATGGAGTAAGACCCTATCTCAAAAACAAACAAATCAGATAACAGGCATGTGACGATGTTTCGGTTTAGGCAATCACATCTGTGTGGTCTGGCCATGCATCGTGAAGTGCATTTGTGCGGCACATATGTGTGACATGCAGGCTCATGTCAGTGGACTTGGATGTCCACAGGTGGTGGAGGAAGGAGGCGCTTGCCTGCAGTCAGGATCCTGAAAAGGCCACAGGCTTCTCCACGGCAGGGCTTGGCGCCCATGTTCTCCACACCAGGTGTGGGGGACGTGGCTGGACTGTGCAGTGTTTCTCAAACTGCTTTAAAAACAGAACACTTGGCTGGGCTCGGTGGCTCACGCCTGTAATCCCACCACATTTGGAGGCCGAAGCGGGTGGATCACCTGAGGTCAGGAGTTCAAGACCAGCCTGGCCAACGTGGTAAAACCCTGTCTCTACTAAAAATACAAAAAATCAGTCAGAAATCACTTGAAACCGGGAGGCAGAGGTGGCAGTGAGGCGAGGTCATGCCGCTGAACTCCAGCCTGGGCGGCAGAGTGACTCGTTCTCAAAAAAACCACAGAACCCTTTTTCCCATGAGTCATCTGGAGACTCGGACCCTGGGAACACACTTTTAACCATGTTGCCGAAGACAGAGCTGGTTGGAAGGAGGCTGGGCCCAGGACACAACACGATCCCACGATGTCACTTAGACATCAGCCACATTCGTAGCCTGGGGGAAGCCCGGTGCCCATGTGCCTGGGCCCCTCTGCCTGACAAGGTCCCCGCCCCCAGGTGCGTGGTACTGAAGCTGGCCAGCTTGGGGATGTTCTCCTTCTCTCTGGGTCAGACCATACTGTGCATCGGCAGAGACAAGACCAGCTGTGAATCCTACGGCTACAACGCTTGTGATTATCAGGTGGCTGGCAGCCTGGTGGGGCCTGTCCCTCCCTTCCTTCTCCCCAAAAGCCCACCTCAAACTGTGCTGAGCCCTGTTCCTGCCCCTTAGTCACCTTTGAGAGCAGTTGTGAACAGAGCTGCCTGCACCGTGGCACACCCCCAGGGGGCGCCACTGCTGCCATGTGGTGTCATGAGGCTGCCCTGGGGGGTTTCTGCTCTAATCCCATTCTCAAGGCCTGGGTTTCCACCTAGCGATTCTGTCAGACTCCAGGCAAGGCGCCTGTGCCATAGAGACACCCACAAGAGGCTAAGGGCAGGGAGGGTGGGCCGTGAGTGGTGACTAGTCCCCCTCCTCTGTACCCCAGTGCTGGGAGAACTCTGTAGGGGAGGAGCTGTACAAGCTGAGTATCTTCAACTTCCTCCTCACCGCGGCCTTTGCCTTCCTGGTCACCTTGCCTCGGAGGTGAGTGACGGTGGCACTCACATGGCCATCGGGCATGTTGGGGGATGGCCAGTGGCTACAGCCAAGGGTGAGCGGGTCCAGCGTGGAGCCCAGGAGTGAATGACAGGCTGCGGCCACGACCGATGCGGCTCACACATCCGTCTGGAGTGGTGGGTACCTGGATCCTCCGTGGGCCCTCTTGTCCCTGCAGGTTGCTGGTGGACCGGTTCTCAGGCCGGTTCTGGGCCTGGCTGGACCGGGAGGAGTTCCTGGTGCCCAAGAATGTGCTGGACATCGTGGCGGCGCAGACGGTCACCTGGATGGGCCTCTTCTACTGTCCCCTGCTGCCCCTGCTGAATAGCGTCTTCCTCTTCCTCACCTTCTACATCAAGAAGGTGATGGCTCACGGCTGGGTGGGCGCCTTGAGCCGGCCTTGCTCCCTGCTCCTGCCCGCTTCCCTGGCCTCAGCGCCTGGGGTCTGCACACCTGGCTGACCCCTGGTTGTGTTGCTTACGCCCCCAGTACACCCTCCTGAAGAACTCCAGGGCGTCTTCGCGGCCCTTCCGAGCCTCCAGCTCCACTTTCTTCTTCCAGCTGGTGCTCCTCCTGGGCCTGCTCCTGGCCGTGGTGCCCCTGGGCTATGTGGTCAGCAGGTGAGGGGAGGAGGAGGGGCACATGGAGGCTGGCAGGGGCAGCTCCTCACCCAGGACCCTGACGCCAGCCGCCCTTGGCCATCTCTCTCCAGCATCCACTCCTCGTTGGACTGTGGCCTCTTCACTAACTATTCAACCCCCTGGCAAGTGGTCCCAGAGCTGGTGGCCCTTGGACTCTCGCCCCTTGGCCAGCGTGCCCTCCACTACCTGGGCTCCCACGCCTTCAGCTTCCCGCTCCTCATCATGCTCAGGTGCTCAGGGCAGCAGGGCTCATGGAAGGGGGCACCTGGAAGGGGAAGTCTTCCATGGGGGTGGCAAGCCTGTGCACCCGCAGCCAGGAGCCAGATTTGGGAAGCCAAGGGAAGTAAGGGCCCCTGAAAAGGAGGCACCTCCTGGGCCCACTGTCTGTGCTGCTGTGGGGATTGCAGGATCACCAGGGAAGCACCATGTCTGGGCAGCCACAGCCGCTGAGCTATTGGTATTGCTGTGCTAGAGGTGAGGGCATGGGGGCCCTGTGAGGAAGGAGAGGACAGTCCCATCCTCAGATACAGCGGTGTGCAGTGAGGAGACCCCAGTATCGAGTGTTGAAGAGATTGAAATGGGGAGAGAGGAAGTTAGGGAGAGGTGCCTGTGGCCACAGGGGCAACTGACAATGAATCTCCTTCCAACCCAAGCCTTGTCCTGACCGTGTGCATCTCCCAGACCCAGGCCAATGCCAGGGCCATCCACAGGCTCCGGAAGCAGCTGGTGTGGGTGAGTGTCCTTGGGGCTGGCAAGGGGATGGCAGCTTCAGTGGAAACCCTTCCCTGTGTGTGTGGCCTAGAGCCTAGGACAGGGCTGGTCTGGAGGGTGTGGCCTCAGGCTGAGGGTAAAGACGGGGAAGGGGAGGAAGGGAATGGCTAGGGCTCCTGAGACAGGGAGCCAGACCTGGTAAAGCATGACCTTAGGGGCCAGGCCTCGGCCTGTGACCCCAATGCTTTGGAGGCCCAGGCAGGAGGATCAGATAGCTTGAAGCCATGAGTTCAAAGCCAGCCTGGGCAGCAAAGCAAGACCCCCCCATCTCTACCAAAAACCAATAATTAATTATTTAAAAAGAGAATATGGCTGAGTGCAGTGGGTCATGCTGAGGCGTGAAGACTGCTTGAGTTCAGGACTTTGAGACCAGGCTGAGCCACATAGCAAGATCTTCTCTGTACTAAAAATTAAAGAAATGAGCTAGGCGTGGTGGCTCGCACCTGTAGTCGCAGCTACTCTAGAGGCTGAGGTGGGAGGATTGCTTGAGCCTAAGAGGCGGAGGCTGCAGTGAGCTGTGTCTTGCTACTGCACTCCTGCCTGGGCAACAGAGCGAGACCCAGTCTCAAAAAAAAAAAAAAAAAAAAGATACGACTTGAGACTTGGGGACAGAGGCTTAATAGAGCTCGGGCAGAGCAGTGACATGGCTAAGGCGTGGCCTCAGGGTGGGGCCTCTAACGGGGCGTGGCCTTGGGCTGCGGACTCTTAGAGGGCGTGGTCTATATCTGCATGGGGTGGGACCCTGGTGGGGCGTGGTCTCAGGATGCGTTGTGGGCGGGCCTCTTGGAGGGCGTGGTCTAGAGCTGTATGGGGCGGAACTCTGGTGGGGCGTGATATCTGGAGGGGGCGTGGCCTCTGGCTACTTCCGGGGCGGGTGGTCCCGTGGGCCACGGAGCGGCTGCCGCGGCTGCCCTGACACCCGCTCGTGGGAAGCAGCGCCTGTCGCAATTCGCCGCTCGCTCTTCTCACAGCAGGTTCAGGAGAAGTGGCACCTGGTGGAGGACCTGTCGAGACTGCTACCAGACCCAGGCCCGAGGGACTCTCGGGGCCGGGAGTCCCCTGCTTCCCGAGCTTCGCGCCCACGGTCCTTCTGCCCAGGATTCCCGTGCCCTGGCTCCCCGGGACCCCGGGACCCGCGGCCGGGCTTCTCCGTCGTGGACGCCCTGGGGCTCCGCTCCCCTTGCCCTGGACCACATGGTACCCCGGCCTCCACCCACAGAGTCCGCTTTCCCAGCGGCCCGGAGCTGTAAACCCGACCCCGGTCCCCCAGGCCTCCTTACTCCACCTTCCAGGACCCTGGTGACCACCGACCCCTCATTGGCTCCAGGACCTCCCTCAGGGGTCCCCAAAGATGGACACACACCCCCAGGGGCATCAGAAAGAACATATGGGAATATTCTATCTGTATTTTTATCTCACCCTTTAAAATGTCTATTTTTTTATTGCATATTTTATAATATACGTAATCTATTAGTATAGTGTCTCATGAATGCAATTTTTTTAAGAGTGTGTTCTGATTTTTTTTTTAGAGCCGTGAGTGCAATTTATACGCATTTATTGGGAATGCTCAGAAGTTGTTTACTGATGGGAGTGCCATCAGAAGAGTCTGGGGACCACCTCCTAAGGAAGGGAAGAGCTGGCCACAGTTAGAGCAAGCCTGTAGGGGGACCTGCTCTGTGTTCCAGCTGCAAACTGCACCATCCCCTCCTGTTACTCTTCCTTCACCTGAGACAGTCGAGGCCACAGCGTCAGCCAGGGCCAGAGCTGGGATTTGAACCCAGGCACTCGGGCTCCAGAGCCACACTGCCCCAGCGTGGGGCTTACAGGCTGCTCCTGGCCCTAACTGAGGGGCCAACTGAAGCCTGGAAAGCAGGTGCTGGGCCAGCATCTCCCTGGCGGGAATCCTCTCCAACCAGCCTAACTCAGCAGCCTCAGGTCCACAGAGCTGCCTTGGGAAACTCGGCAGAGCCCTGGCTTCCTGCAGAGCCCTGTTCTTCCAGTCTGCTTCACGGCTCCCTGGTTGAGCCAAGCTTGCAGATCCGTGGGGTGAAGGTACCCACACCGCCTGGGCCTTAGTGGTGTGTGCGGACCTGCAGTATAAGGGTTACCAAGTGTGAGTGGCAGGCGGGGGCCCATGCAGGTGAGGCAGCTGGCAGCAAGGGCAGGGCTGGGACCCCCTCCCAAGGCTGTGTCTGACATTCTTGAGCCTGTTCAGGGTTCCTTTTCCAAGCCTCCTGCCCTCCCGCCCCCACCCCTGCCATGCTGCAGTGACTCTAAACCTCTCAGCCTTGGAGAAGCTGCTATAAGCTGGCCACATCCCAGCGACTCTGATGTGGTTGGTCTGGGTGTGGCCAGCAGCCAGGGCATCGGGACTTTTCCACGCTCCCAGGTGACTCACCCACAGCTGGGGCTGAGAACTGTCAGGAGGGAAAGTCAGAAGTCCCAGGATGCACCTGAAAAGCCTCTAGCTCCACCAGTGACCAGCTCCTGGCCAGACTCTTGGCCGGGACTCAGCCAGCACCCGAGAGGCCTCTCGCCTTCAGGGCTGGGGACTTCTTCACGTGGTCATCAAAGACTTGGCCAGTTCCACCTCTCTGGCTGCTGTCCTTGTCCCACCCAGTGTCACATGACCCAATAGTTCACCAAAAAACACGATGAAGCGCTGCCAGTGCCAGCTCCTATTCTGGGGACTGGCAGTGAGGCCAAGCAGGAAGCAGGGAGCTCTGGGTTCTGTCTGGGGGGGTGACAAGCCTGGACCAGATAACAGTGACTCATGGCCGGGCGCGGTGGCTCACACCTGTAATCCCAGCACTTTGGGAGGCCGAGGTGGGTGGATCACGAGGTCAAGAGATCGAGACCATCCTGGTCAACATGGTGAAACACCGTCTCTACTAAAAATACAAAAAATTAGCTGGGCATGGTGGCGCGTGCCTGTAGTCCCGGCTACTCGGGAGGCTGAGGCAGGAGAATTGCCTGAACCCAGGAGGCGGAGGTTGCGGTGAGCCGATATCACGCCATTTCACTCCAGCCTGGGTAACAAGAGCAAAACTCCGTCTCAAAAAAAAAAAAAAGTGACTCATGTTAATTAGCAGCTTAGGCCCAAAGGCGGCCCCTGTACCAGTGGCCTCAGCACTCCTGGGAAAAGGTTAGAAATGCACATTCCCAGGCCCCACCTCGGCCTCCTGAATCAGAGCATCCCTTCAGCAAAACATACTGAGAAGCAACCATGTGCATCACCCAGTGCTGTGAAGAAGACACGCTTTGAGACCTTGAAGGAATCATGAAACTCTGGGCCTCCGTGTGCTCACCCAGGGCATGATGAAGATGCCATGCTCCCCCACATGGCCTCCAAGATTAAGTGAGCAATGACGTTTTTTTGAGGCAGTCTTTTTGTCGCCTAGGCTGGAGTGCAGTGGCAAGATCTCGGCTCACTGCAACCTCTGCCTCCCAGGTTCAAGCCATCCTCCTGCCTTAGCCTCCTGAGTAGCTGGAACTATAGGCACTTACCACCATGCCCAGCTAATTTTTTGTTTTGTTTTTGTTTTTGAGATGGAGTTTTGCTCCCGTTGCCCAGGTTGGAGTGTAATGGTGAGGTCCCAGCTCACTGCAACCTCTGCCTCCCAGGTTCAAGCCATCCTCCTGCCTCAGCCTCCCAAGTAGCTGGGACTACAGGTGCCCAACACCACACCCGGCTAATTTTTTGTATTTTTAGTGGAGAAGGCATTTCACCATGTTGGCCAGGCTGGTCTCAAACTCCTGAACTTAGATGATCCATCTGCCTCATCCTCCCAAAGTGCTGGCATTACAGGCATGAGCCACTGTGCCCAGCCCATGCAGTGACTTTTGAAGTGTCCCCATGGGGACCTAGAAGTGCAGTGGTGGCTCCTGTTACAATGTGGTCACTGGCCTGAAGGAGCCAAATGGGAGATGATGGGGAGTGGACCTGGGGCCCCCTGTGATTGGGACCACCCAGAAAGACAGCCCAGGGGGCCTTGGGGGATGGGTCTCTTCCCTCAGGAGGGCTCATGGAGCTGGTGACAAGCAGGGCTTTGGAGAAAGGGAGGCTTTGGACAGGAGCTGAGAGTAGAGAGGGAGCCTGAGCAAAGATGTGGTGAAGGGACCACAGGGAAGACTGGGAAGCTGGAAATCTGAGGCCTCTAGACTGGGATGGAGGACACACGGTGACAGCCAGTGTGAAGATGGAACCAGTGCTCCGGCAGGCAGCGTGTGCCATGGGCTGGGATGATTTTCTGTAGATGACAGGCAGCTGGAGGGCCATGACCTAATGAGGGGCTCTGCCAGGAGCTTAGATGTCCCGCCAGGCAGACAGGGACTCTCTAGGGCTTATGTAGCAGGCGCAGTAAAGGTCTCACCAGATGGGAGAGCCCACTGCAGGTGTGGTGTCCCAGCTGCCCCTAGCCTTGGGGACTCCTGGGCCCTCCCCTGCCCAGCCCTGAGAGACGCCCCCCATCTTTCTGTGCCCCTAAAACCCCACTATGCTGGCCGGGGGAGCCCAGAGCAGACTCTCGCCCACAGGACCCTTCCAGGGACAGTACGGGGAAGGAAATGTGGAGATGCTGGGAAGAGCACTTGTTACTGAGGACAGTGGCCTCTGCAAGCAAAGATCACAGAATATCAGCCTGAAGCAGGTGGCTGGAGAGCTTTTGGGGATCCCCAAACTCCACGAAAGGTGGCCTGGGGGTGACCTTGGAGGTGTGGCTATGTCCTGGCCTACTTTGCAGGCTGGACAGAGGGGCAGCGGCATCCAGAGAACTGGTCAACCAGATGGGTGCACAAGTGATCCCTGGGGGCGCGGGGCGCAGGAGGGATGTTGGGGGTCCCCCGAGGTCTGGGGAAAATGGCCCACGAGTCTGCCTTGTGCTCCGACTCCAGCTTCCCCACACTCTGGGAAGAAGAAGGGCTTCTCATGAGCGGCCTTATCTCAAGGTTCCCCTGAACACCACAAGGAGAGAGAGTGAGCTTCCCCTCAGGCGAGAGATTGCCAGCAGTCCCGGCCCGGGCAGCCAGCCAGCCCCACGGCCACCTGTCGGCCCTCAGTCTTCAGTCCCCTCCCCCACCCGCCTGCAGCAGAAGTGAGAACAGACGGTTGGGAAGGGAAGGGAGTTTTGCTGGGAAACTAAGAGATAATGCTGTTGCTCCCCAGCTGGGAGAACTGAAAGCAGAGAGGTCGGCGGGCGCCCAGCAGGCAGGCTCCATCCCCGAGACCATGGGCAGCAAGCGGCAGAAACGGACTCAGGCCAGCTGGGAGAGGGCCACCGAGGGGTCAACAGAGCCAGTCTGCAGCGACCTCCAGGACACCTGCACCTGCCTCCCCGCTGTCCTTTTGGCCACTCCCTGGTCAGCCAGGCCACCCCCTCAGACCAGCCTCCCATGCACCCAGGCCTCGGGCACAGTGCGTCCCCCTGAGAAAGGCCAAGAGGAGACCTGGGGCAGGTCTGCCTTCCTCGGTCGGGTGTTGACTCCTGGACTGTGCCCAGGGGCAGGGAGCGTGTTTGACCACCCAGGTGCCACAGGTGGCAGCAGCTCCGGAGGCAACTGGTCACCTGGCCGCGGGGCACACATTCCTGAAGGAGGCAGGCAGGAAGGGCGTTTCCCACACAAAGTAACTGAGCCTGGCAAGAAAGCTACAGGCTGGTCCACCAGCCCCAGGCCCAGGTGGGGCACAAAGCCCGGTGCAGTGGCCCAGGGAGGAGCTGGCAGGGTCCTGGCCTCCCTCCCCTTCGCCCGCAGATCTCTCTGTGTTTTGGGGACTGCCTGGCCCCAGCGCTGGCGTCAGGGCTCTGGGAGGCCCTGCTCACCTCCACCCTCCCTGCAGGTGCAGGAGGCTTGGCCGCTGAGGCTCTGCGCGCACACCGTCTGTGATGCAGCTGGGTCTGCTGGGACCGAGGCCAGCACTGGGGCCGGCTCCCTGGGGAATGACCATCCATCTGTCCTCCCAGCACCCTCAGTGGGGCCTGAGGAACTTCTGAAGGGCAGAACTTGGGCACACCACATCACACTCCAGGAGCAGGGGCCTCATCGCTCTGGGGCTGGGCGCAGCCTTGGCCACCAGGCTCTGAACCATCATGGGATGGGCGGGGCTGCCTCTCCTCAGCCCAGCAGGTCCCCAGCTGGGAAAGGACCCAGTGATTACATGAGGGTCACCTGGGCCATCTAGACAGCCTCCTCCTCTCAAAATGAGGAGATTCGCAGCCTTAATTCCCCTTGCCAAGTAACACGGTACTCACGGGCTCCAGTGATTACAGCACGGACACCTTTTTTTTTTTTTTTGAGATGGAGTCTCGCTCAGTCGCACAGGCTGGAGTGCAGGTGGTCTGATCTCGGCCCACTGTAACCTCCACCTCCCAGGTTCAAGCAATTCTCCTTGCCTCAGGCTCCCAAGTAGCTGGGACTACAGGCATGTGCCACCATGCCCTGCTAATTTTTGTATTTTTAGTACAGACAGGGTTTCAACATGTT